CTCTGAAAATATTGGGCAGAGGTAAAATTTCAAACCAATATTTTTAGGAGCTCATAAATATTTATTTTGGCCATTTGGAATTAATCCAGTAATTATTTGCGTTGGATAAATATTTATATATATATATATAATATTGTCCAATAATTCTGAATTTTGGTGAGGGGCTTTGGAATAATCCTTTAGGCCCCTGCAAAAATTTTCAGAAGAAAATAACTTGATTTAGTATTTTTATTAAATCAAAACAAAGGTCGGAAAATAGAAAAGAAAACAGGAAATAAGAAAACTTTTACCTGACTTACCTGGCGCCCCACCCCGGCCCAGCAGTGGCCCGGCCCAACTGGCCGTTGCCAGTCGTCTCCCTCGCCAGGAGGCAGCGGTGAAAGGGAGCACGGCGAGCATGCATGCCCGCCAGGCAGCTGCTTGCTGCCTCCTCTCCCTCCTCGGCGTTGTCCACCCCCGAGAGCTCCACCGAGCCGCCTGGCCTCTCTCACTTCCCCAGTTCTCTCCTCTCTTCCCCCTCGCCCTCTCTCTCGCGGCCGAAATCGCCGTCGCCGCCGTCCACAGCCACCGTGGCCTTGGCCATTGCCGCACCTCCCCGACACGCTTCCCAGCTCCGCCGCGACCCCTTCTCCCTCCTCATCGAGCAAAGCAACCGGGCAAACTCCGCTTCATCCTCGGCGCCGTCGTCTTCATCTCCGGCCGCCGGAGATCGTCCTCACCGCCCCGCCGACTCCATCCTTCCCCGAGCTCCTCGACGACGCCCGCCGGTCCCCTGTGAGCCCCGCCGTCGTTCCCCCTACTCCCCTACCCTTTTGCGCCCTCTAGCCCCTCTGCCGCACGCCACCGAACACCGGCCGCCTCCACGAGCTTCGCTTCGGCGAGCTCCGCCGTCCCCGCAGCCTCCCGACTACTCCACTGGATGCGCGCGAGCACCAGCTCCTCGGGGATGGTCTCCGCGGCCCATTTGGTCGCTGGAGACGCGATCCCGAGCCCCTCCGCTGCGTCTGGCTCGTCGGCGTCAAGCCGCCGGCGGGTTTTGACCCCGCTGACCAGGAGGTTTGACCTCCCGTGGGTCGCTGACATGTGGGGCCCGACCCTATTAATTTTTAGTTAGGATTAGTTTAACAACTAATTTAACCCTGTTAACTAATTGGGTCACTGACGCGTGGGCCCAACCCCATTAACTAAGCCAGTTTAGGTTTAATTTAATTAGGATTAGCCACAGACACTGACGTGTGGACCCCACACGTCAGGTTTGACTCGGCCAGCTCCTTTGACCTGCTGACGCAATGCTGCCGTCATGCTGACGCAATATATCATTTTCTGGTATTAAAATAAATCGGGAAATTCCAGAAAATGATATAAACTTCAAAAATTCGTAGAAATTCAACCGTAGCTTAGATTGAAATAATTTATATATGAAAAATTATCAGAAAAAGTCAATCTATCCATCTGAACCATTTTCATGCATGAAAAACCAATCTATACATGCTGTATAAGGGAAACACTAAAATGGCATATTTAAGAGCTTATGTTAAAGATGCATTTGAATCTTTAGTTCAAATGGACTTTAACCAATTGAATGCTGGTTGCATTAGCTCAAACAACATCACATCTTCATGCCATGTTCATGCATCATATTATTGCATATGTTTGTGTATTGATTGTCGACACCGTTCCTTCTCGATAGGTCCTGCTCCGGAGACCGATCTAGAGTATCTATCTGTGGAGCAGTGCCCCCTCTGTTGATCTATCAGGCAAGAAAACCCCCTTGTTCATTCCGATACAATCCTACTCTCTCGCTCCTGCTCTCATTATTGCATTAGGACAACAACGATTCAACTGCTACTTTATGCTGCGGTAGTTGAACCCATTCCTCTGCATGACCTGTCATTGCCACAGTAAATAGTTAAGACCCACTAGCATGTGTAGGAGTTGATTGAGCCATGTTGTGTTCTTGCCATGCCATGCCTTCTATTGCTTAGAGTTGTGTCAGGTCTGATTCATCGGGAATGAATTGGAGTGGTACGATATGTTCTGGTGCTGAGAGTTAAGCGTGTGAACACGATTTGGTAAAGGTAGCGGTGAGAGGCCATGTAGGAGTACATGGTGGGTTGTCTCACTGGAATTGTCCTTAAGCACTAAGTTCTGTGTATGTTGTCCAATGACTAGCTACTACCACACATTGGGCTCCGGGCACTCCAAGCTCTCTCGACTTATTAACCAACTTGATCTTTGTCCAGGAGTTGCAATTAGTTTCTGGTGTTTGTAGGTAGTGTTAGTAGTCTACCAAGTGGCACCCGGCCAGGTGGGCTTGGGACAGACTAGGCACAAGTGGCACGGTGTACCAAGCGTAGATCCATCCGGCGAGGTGGGCTTGAGAACCCTGCACACATCGTTTGGGGCCGTGAGCGACACCCCGGCCGGATCTCCTTGCGGATGGAACCCGAATAGGCGATAAACCTGGACTAGAGTCCTGTGTGGTTAGTCAGGCCATGGTCGACACCCTCGCCAGGCTTCCGCTTGAAGGTTGCCGAGATACATGACGTGTACATGGTGATAAGTGGTGAGAGCGTGTGTGAAGAAGTACACCCCTGCAGGGTTATCATGATCTATTTGAATAGCCGTGTCCTCGGTTATGGACTTCTTAGATGCTTACGTGGTACATAGACAACTTGAAGTGGATACTCTAAAATGCTCAAGACAAGTGTGAGTGCTATGGATGGCCTTCTCGTAGGAAGACGGGAATGAATCCATAGTAGTGTATTGACGTGGTGATTAGTGGACTCGTGTGCGCCACCTCAAAAGAGTTACCAGCAGTCGTAGTACAGGATAGCCACTGAGTCAAAGCTGGCTTGCTGCAACTAAACTCCACATTACCTTCTTGATACAAGTGCATGTATGATAGGATCTGATGTAAGTCTTGCTGAGTACCTTTGTACTCATGTTGCTTTATTTATGTTTTTGCAGCGGAGACTTCGGTCTTACTAGTTTACGTGGACTTCGACAAGTAGCTTGTACCTCAGCTACGATCTTGATCGGATGTTGTAGATAGTCGGGCTCCTCAGCCTTTTTAATTTGTAGTTGTCTGTACTCAGACATGTAATGCTTCCACTTGTTGCTTGTATGCTCCGAATGATGGGTCATGTGGCCCTTGCTTGTACTTAATGCTATGTGGTTCTTCTGAGCCTTTATCTATATGAGTTTGCATTATGTTGTGATGCCATGTTGTACCTCACATACTTGCATGTTATGCGTACGTGTGACGTGTATTGCTATGTGTGGGATTCGACAATCTAGTTGTTTGTCCTTGGCAGCCTCTCTTATGGGGAAATGTTGTCTAGTGCTTCCTTGAGGCATAGTAGTCCGCTACAGCCCGGTTCATCGAAGTCCTGCTAGCCCAGCACTACTGCTCAGAACACTTGACTGGCCGGCATGTGTTTCACTTCGTTCCTGTGTCTGTCCCTTTGGGGAAATGTCACGCGGTGACATCCGGAGTCCTGCCTAGCCTGCTACAGCCCGGGTTACCGGAGTCCTGTTAGCCCAGTGCTACAGCCCGAATTCATATGTTGTTGACCGACATGCTCGATGTGACTCATGTATGCCTGTCCCCATAGGTTAGCACCGCTTTGGGTTCACGACTAGCCATGTCGGCCCGGATTCTTTGTCATATGGATGCTAGCGATACTATCATATACGTGAGCCAAAAGGCGCAAACGGTCCCGGCCATGGTAAGGCGACACCCATGGAAATACCGTGCGTGAGGCCGTAAAGTGATATGAGGTGTTACA